GGTTTTCTCTGACATTTAGCTTGTCTGTGCTGTTGTTTTGCCTAACATGTATTTATAGCTTGTACGAAACGCTTACCGCCAAACTATGCAGTCTGCACATGATCTTCTGCAGTATGGAAAATTGTCGTATGAATAATTTCTTTATGTGCAGTAAGATAAGTATACTGCAGTTAAGACTCCCTAGATTTTATTGTGTTTTTGATGAAAAATTCCCTGTGAAATTTTAGAATAGGAATGAAAATTTTAGTTAGTTTAGATTAGTAAGAGATTTTATATGGAAGAAGACATAGTTTTCTAGGAAATCCAATTTTGATAATCTTCTATCCAATAAAGGAGTAATTGAAGGATTTCAAATGCTGCTAAATTTGTTAAGTTAATGACAGCTCAACTCTACTATATAATTAACTATTATTTTCATACTCTCACACAGAAAGTACTATATAATTAACTACAGTTAAATCATTATTTTCATATGATCTAATGTTAAGAAATTGGCATTCATGAACGAGTAACCTAGACGTAGAACGCATCATTTTGTTTCGAGTAAAACCTACTCCACGACTTTCCTTAGCATTGATTCCTTGAAATTGTTATGTGTTAACAATTGCATGACATTATTGCCGGTAACTTTCCTTTCTGACTTCTAAAACAACTTTTTTCATACTAAATGTCTTGAAAAGTTGAGATAGAAGCTAGACTTGGTGGCTGTTACACATGATCTTTTACAAGGTTTATTTTGATTATGCTAGAAATGATTGTCAATGCAACAATATTCTCATGCAGATTTTGTTTTTGACATATATATACTCACAATACATACTTTTTAAGCTAGTGCCAATGTTATAAAAAATGATTTGATGGGATGCATCATCAAAAATCCAAGAACTAAAGAGTCCTAACGGAATCTTTTTACAAAACAGTTCATATATATATATATATCTACATCTAAAGAAGTTTTATTGAGAAAAGGAGGAAAACATTATAAAGATAACATCAAATAAGTTGTCTAGCTGAAGCAAAAGAAAAAAGAATAAAATTAAATTAAAAGTAAATAACACTGAAGAGGTAACAGATCACGTGGCTATAGCATCCCATCTCCTATAAAGCATAGTAAGGGATATGTTCGAGTATTTTCCATAAGTCTTAACCCAAAGGAAAGCCAAAAAAATAATCTTTTCCTAAATGAAATTATCTTAAAAAGATCAGTTATTAAACATCTATCGGTTTCTTTCTATCCAAATAGTTCAAAAAATAGCAATTCCTAACACAGTGGTCTTAACTTTTTCCCTAATCCCACAATCACTAATATCTATGTTAAGTTAAAATTATCAAAGAGCCTAATCTATAATTTCCACGCTATTTCACAATTTAGAAAGAGATGATTATGTGTTTTCCATCCTTTATAGCACATAACACACATGTCATGAGACAAAACTTGGTTAGGCCTATGAATTTGCAGCAGCTCATTAGTGTTTAACAATTTAAAATTGCAATACATACGAAAACCTTCACCTTCAAGGGAACCTTATCAAAATTCATTGGTAAAAATATTTTAATAACGACCAAAGTTTTGGTTATATGATGAAAGAACGATTTAC